CAACTCATAATTTAGCAAGAAAGATCCATTCTCCTGCAATCAATACCTGAGTCTTGTGCAATAAAGCTGTAGAATAGAGACTGAAGCAGATTCCTGGGTGAAACCAAACCAATGCCTTCTGTCATCTTTCTTAGGAATCTAACAAGAAAATGCTACATCACATAGCTACTAATATGAGCTAAAGCAGAAGCATGGCAAACTAAACTGCAGACCAAATGGATCAGTGGAAGTGCCAAAAAACGCATGCTCGTAAGATCGATCGGTAGAATCGGAACATGAAGTCCAAGAATGTATATGTTATGGCAGCTAATTTGCAGACCAGCATTTTTATTTATAGAAGTCTAAGAATGAGCAGCTTCTTACTTGCACAAGAAGAGATCAGAGCACATATTATGTACCAACATAAACATTTCTCCTAATCAGATACAAAATGTTGGTCTACATGTGCCAAATTATCAATCAACTATCTAATGGAAGTGCGCATAGGATTAGATCCATTATGCCTACCCATAATTATTTAAGCACTCAAAGAATCTCCTAAATTCTGAGAAGATATCTGAATGTACACTACATTAGTTTCATGAACAAGGCAAAGCATTGTCAACAGAGAATGGTACTTCAACAGTGATCTTTACATACTGTTGTTTGATCTCTGAACAAGTACATGCAGAGAAAGATTTATGTTGGATTTAAATGGTCAGATGATGACCATTAGAGCATCAAGAATGTGGTAGGAAAATAGTAATAAACAGCTTGATGGGGATCTCTTCTATGATATCATTCATCTGCAGAGAGCTGTGCCAAACTAGCTGTCAACTAAGGAGATCAAGAATCCATTATGATCATAATATTTCCTGGAAGACCGGCATTTGAGCATCAAGTATCATGATTTAACATAATTTCTGCTTATTTGAAACCCTAACATTGGATTTTACTCAGACTCAAGAAAATTAAAGATCATCACATTAATCATATGGCAGTGAATACAAAGACATAATTATTTAATATATATATATATAATTAGGAAGAAGAAACGTCAACGGATCCGTGGCGCAATGGTAGCGCGTCTGACTCCAGATCAGAAGGTTGCGTGTTCGATTCACGTCGGGTTCATTTTTGTATTTCGTGATCTGCCGTATTCCGGCCCAGGTGAACCGGACCGGCCCAAAATAAGCCCGGTTTGAAAAGGATTGTTAATCCAGGTCATTAACTTTTTATTTTCGTTTTTCCAAAAATCATATTATATGTATATATTTACATCCCTCCAAAGATCATGATTTTCACATTTATTCCTATAAATTCAATATATTTATATTTACAAAGCCCCATAAATTTTAATGCTCATGTAGATAGTGTATATTAGTTTATTGTTGACATTAATTACAAGCAACTTTCTTCCTTTGTTTCTTAAATATATTGAACATAAGATCTTTGAATATATTTTTTATTCATATTATATAGTTGTAATTTTAAATGTGACTAATTGCCTTGAATTTTATGACTAAATATTATTGTCAAGGATATCGAGAGCGCATCCATCATATGTTCCGTCGAAACAACCCAAACTTTTTTTCTTATTATTTTGTAAATATCTTACTAATTGATTATTTCCATTAGATATACATTTTAAAGCAATACATATATACATTATGAATTTAGAATCCAAGTATCATTGGATTAGCTCTAAATTACATTTTTTCGGTTTTCGATCTCTAAACAACGACAAACATGAAATGTTGAAAATGAGGGATTCTCGCATGAGGTAATGCATAGTAATTTTTACTTAATTATGTCATCGTATAAATTCAAAGAATTAGATGTGTTTCAAAAGGTCTCAAATGCCTTTCAATTAAACAACTTGCTAGTAGAAATTCCTGTGACATGAGTGATTTATCTCTCTCATAAGACAGTGGACTTATTGTATTTCCATAATAGATTCCCAATAGCACCAATCAATTGTGTCATACAATAGGATTACCAAATTGTGCTAATAAGCAAATTTCTCTCCAAGCTCTACACTATAATAGTCTTGCTTCTTCTTCTTTGTTCTCCATAATCACCTTAAATACTTGTGAGTTAGGCTATGTTAAAACAAGAAAAACAAGTATCTTTTCCTCCTACATCAATAATTATGTAGTTTCATGTTGTCAATCATCAATTCTTCCAATAATCTTTATCAATATTTTCACTAAATTATAGCTTATTGAATTCCAATGCCTACCATATAATTTATATCGATCATTGCATCTAAAAACACATCTCAAAGAAGCCAAAACAAACCCAAGATTTATGCCTATATTGTATGTACAGGAATTCCCAAGAAAAATATATGTATTGCTCCATTTGTATTGAATATATTCATATCATTTTGATTTGACATATATAAACATATATATATATATATATACATATACATATATACATATACATATACATATACATATATATATATACACTGGAAACTCTTGGAAACACAGGAGAGAGAGAGAGAGAGAGAGAGAGAGAGGGGGGGGGGGGGGGATTGGAAGTGCTCTTGTACTGACTGCATCATCTTTGAGAAACGTGCAAGTGCAAGTGCATGCAGTGTTTCTTCTGGCTGAATCATGGATCTGCCAAGATAAGTTCTAATTTGCTGCCTTCCATATATAATCCCATGTACTGCAAGGGAGGAAGAACCGCAGCTTTTTCTCTACAGATTCCTACTTTTACTTCCTGCCATAATATTAAATGCACTGACATTCTCACCCTCTCCTGGAAACAAAGGAGAGAATGAGAGATTTGGAGAGAGGAGATCACAGAGCGAAGTATTCTTCTCTCTCTTTTCTGCCGGAAGGCATAGATCTTGAAGAAACACCAGGTAATGTTGTAGCAGTGTTTTCAAGATCCACAGATTTCTTTTACTGCGGAATGCACTGTCCTTTCTTCTTGCACTTCTTCATCTTGAAAAGATAAAGACTAAGGATAGAATCAAATTTCTTAGATTTTTTCTACTTTGATTCTTCATCTGTTACTGGATTCATATCCTTAATGAGTGATATCACTCCTATATTTTGTTGTTTATGATAAGACCAGCTTACAGAAATCTTTATCGAATATTTGCATTAGAGAAATTAGATATCTTAGCATTATGAGGCAATGTTAGATAAACTACTATGACTCTTTAGGGTTTATCTATATATTTAGGGTTACAATCTCCTCTTATCAGTGTGCTAAGATAGATTCAATACAAAATTCTCTTTTATTTGTTTTTTTCAACTCTTATACTATTGTACATATTTTTGTATGTGTTTCTTTTAATTGTGTTTGAATGTAATCTTAGATCAGAAATTGAGTTTGGTTGGCTTTCCTAATTGGATTAGGAGTTGAATTTAATCTTAGATCAGAAATTGCACTAAATAGAGTTTGATTAGAGGTGATAGTTGGAGTCTGGATGGTTTTCCTATTTGATTAGGAGTTGAGTTATAATTAGATGGAAACACTTACAATTACAATCTCACTTTTCCTATATTAATTTTGCATCACCTTTCCTCTCAAATTAAAGGGTTGACAATGGTGGTGATCACAAAGGGGAGGAGGAGACTGGTAGGGATCCTTTCTTCCTCTAATATCATTGATCCTTTCTTCCTCTAAACTAATGATGTGATGATGAACTTCTGAATTATTAATCTTTGTTCGATATGCATCAGTGTTTGTTGATTCATTTACTGCATCAAAAACTTGTACTGTTTATATGATCTGATTGGTTTTTTGCTGTATATTTTCTTGAGATGTGTTCATGAAATCATTGACAGTGGGCAGGAGATGACTTCCCTGTTTGCATCAACCCAAAACTAGTGCTTTGTGTTGCTCAGTTTTCTGCTGCCATGTCTTCAGACCATGCCTTGGTGTGTCTTCTGCTGGAGGAAGAGGAGACACGCCATTGCTACTGCTACAGCTACTGCTACTGCTACTCCAGCTTGCATGCTTCTGCATGAGCCACTTGGCCTCAAGCTTCTCACCCTCGACGCCGACGGACGCCGGCCCTACTGCGTCCATCGCAGCATCTTCTTCTCAGCAGTCGCACCTGCGCGCGAGGCGGCGCCCGAGTGCAACTTCGACGTGGAGCGGGCCTGCGTCGGCTCGTACGGGTGGAAGCGGCAGCGGCGGCTGTTCCCGCCGCCGATCCCGGCGCTCGCGAGCACCGGGAGGCTGCGCTGCCGCATGCTGTCGAAGCTGATGCGCGTCCCGGCAGCCGACGACGGCCGCCTGGTGATCAAGGAGTTCAGATCGGAACGGCACGACTGTTTCCGCGTGAGCCGGGATGGCGGGCGGCTCAGGCTTCAGCTGGTGTACGCGGACGAGCAGTCGCCGGAGTCCGAAGCAGGGCAGCAGCCGCCATCAGCGTCGCCATTGTCGCGGAGCGCAAGGACCGAAAGCGAGCCTCGACAGGATGATAAGGTGAGCATCGCATACTCGGAGCCGCCATTGATGATGCTGTCGCCATCTTCGAGGTGTGCGTTCCCTGAGCTCTGCGATGGCTGCTACGGGCATCCGAATCTAACGCCGTTCGCTGACATCTTCGCATCAAACATCACAAGCAAGATCTATTAAAGATAATGCTAATGTACATAGCTTACATAAATTAGGCACTGAGCTGCTAATTTCTTGGAGCAGCAATAGACGAAGTAATTAGTAGGAGAACACAAACAAGATTTTTGCAGAGACAGGTACCTTGCTGTTCATCATAAATGTCTTCATCTTGTGCTGCATGCTCGAATATTTTGGGGGTAGAGCAGTTCATGGAAAGTGTTCTGTCAGATCCATTGTGTCAGTGACTGTGTTTTGGTTCTATGTCAGTAACTTAGCGCTGAAGGTAAGATAGACCTGAAGATAACAAGAGACAAAAGATCCAATAACTACCTGTCTGACCTCGTTATCAAGAACAGTTTTGCAGTGGTAGAAATCAAGAAGGATATCTACTAAATTTGCTTGATGCAGAGACCAATACTTGCAACAAAATCTATAGAAAGATCCAATAACTAGTATGATCATAAGGCCTTGGTGAACAGATTTGTCATGTTTTGGTACATTTGCTGGATAAGCACTCAGATTTCTATAGGACTGCAACAAGCAAAACGGAGAATTGTTGGTCTAATTCAGTTTTGTAGCACAAGCAACAGAGCCATTGCTACAACACAGGTGATACAGCTTCAAACATTGCAGTTGTCTTCCTTCTTGGCACCACCAAGACATGCTTCGACAGCTTCACCCACAGTGAGGAATATCCATGCTCCTCCAATCATCTCCACAAGCCTGGCCAACTTCATCTTGTGAATCACTTGCCAACCGGGATTTACTACAGCTAGCTGCACCGAAAAAGTCACTATGAAAGTTCCTCAAGAGTGATCAGAGAAATTAAAAAACATTGTTTATTGTTCTGAAAACAGGTTACTTCTTTTTTTTTCCCCTTACCTGAACACTAGCAGAGGCCAGCTTCTTGTAGATTTCTTCAAGAGCTGAGATGCCTGACGTGTCAATGTTTATAACATCTGCAACCAGATGGCTCAGACCTAGATGATGATATCTAAGAAGAACAGAGAGTGTGATGTGTGCTATCTTTGAGCCGATGAACTTACTTGTCATGTCGATGATGACTGATTTGGTTTCTTCCTTCATTGCGTTGCGCCCTTCTGTTACCCAGTTTACAATCCTGGATCAACAAGTTTGATGCTGTTTAAGTTTCAATTTAAGAGGAAAGTTTTATCAGCTTCATCGATTATAGCATACCTTTCTCTTATGAAATTGGCATTCATGAAACAAAGGAACGGTGAATCGATGCGGAGTATCATCAAATTCGGTGTTTCCGCAGCTGATGGATACTGTCTCATGCTGCAGAATGTGTCTGTCCCTTGGATCCTTCCAAGCATCTCTACGCTGGGCCGAAGTGCACTTATGATGATCTTGGCAAAGGAGATGAGAACCTGTGACAATTGAAAATCATTGAGAAACTTCTTCTCAGTTTTTCTCAAGAAGATTGATTTCTAGTAGCTAAATTGGAGTTTAAACTCAAGTATTCCGATGTAATGTATTGCTAAACATGTGTATCCTTGTGATCATATAATAGAAAGACAAACATATTATCCTCAAAAGAAGAAAATTAATAGAAAAGAAGGTGCTCACTTGGTATCAACAATTACAACAATGGCTGCCATTTTTTATTCTTTTTGTATAACTTGACAGATAATGAAAAGCATGCAATGATCTATTTATATTAAATGAGGAAGCAATGATCTAAGTATTTGTCATCACAATATGCAAGAAATTCATTTAAATGTTCCTTTTCATCTTGTCATGGACAATAGTCAGGAATAGAACTTATAATGAAAAATTGAAGTACTTATCTAACATTTATCATATAAATTGTGGATTAAACATGCTCACAACACTTGGGAAAGTTAGTTTTCTATCAACAATCATATATATGAATATGGGAAAACATGTATGCTTGAAAACAAAACTGAAAGATTCATTTCCAAGTATCTCACTGCAGTCAGAAGGCCAATTTCCACCGATCCAAATAATACACCAAGAAATGCTCCAAAGCAAGCTAGGAAATCCATCTTGTCAATTTTCCAGATGTTGTAAGCTTCTTTTATGTCGATGAGGCCTGGAAGAGCCGAAAGAATAATCGAAGCGAGTATAGTAACTGGTGTGTAGTATAAGAGCTTCATGAGCAATTGCAATGATATGAACACAGTGATGGCCATGACTATGTTCGATACTGTCGTTTTGCAACCTGCACTCACATTTACGGCCGTCCGAGAGAATGAACCTGTAAATTTAGGTTCAGTGAAGGATAAATTATAAATAGGAGGAAGTTGTTCTAGTTGTTTTGCTTAGAGAAGAATAGAAGTTACTGTAATTGCTTCAAGATACATGATCCATCTTATTTCATGAAAAATAAAAGAAAACACAGATCAATATCAAGCCAGGAAATGAATCAATCAAATATTGACTTCCTATCAGCCAAAACATAGATGAATTACTGCAGTCATCAATCCTGAAGAAGAGTATCTTGACTGTTGCATTTTCCTATATCTATATCTCTCTCTCTGGAAAGTTTTGGATTCTCTGATCTCTTCTGATAAATATTTGAGCATTGAATTTACCTGTTGCAACATAGCAGGAAGACATGGATCCAGCAAGGTTCATGACGCCCATTGCTACCATTTCCTTGTTGCCATCCAGTTGGTATCCTTTTACAGCAGCAAATGATCTGCCAACAGCAATAGCCTCCTGAAGAAAAAGAGACTCAAACTAGTTATTTCTGCTTTGAAATGAAGAAAAAATGTAGGATAACAGTATTGATCAAGTTCAAGGAGGCATACTGTGAGAGCTATGATTGCACAAATGAGGCCAATCTTTGCTGACTCCGCAACATGTGATCCAGTCAGCTGTATGTCCTTGACCGAACTTGGATTCAATCCTTCTTTAACTTTTTGAATGATTTTAACACCATGTTTATCTGCTCTTGTCAAGAATACCAGAAGGGTTGATATAATCACTGAAAGCAGGGGAGTTATGGCAGACAACCAGAAGAGTTTCCGTTTCCTCATACCCTATTTCAAGGTATAATGTGATTCTTCAGCTGATGTTCATATGAAGTCTTCAAATTTTTAAGAAGTGAGAAAGACAAAATTTGCATTACTTACTATGAATCTCACGATAAGGATGAATATGAGGAATGAACATCCGATGAGAAAATTGTCGGGGTGCCACTGTAATCAGGAAGCGACAAAAAATCATTTCAAGTTAAATGAATTCTCGTCACAATCTTTCTTGACTCATTGCAATAACCATCATATTCATGTTCATGTTTTGGAAAAGATTTTGACATATAAGTTCTTAGTTCTTGGATGCAAACTCAAATTCAATCTACTGTTATATAAGGCAGCTGGTCCATCGGATTGGAAGAATGGATAAAAGAGTTTATGAAGAGCTTCAAAAGTAGAAATTATATTGTCAGAGGTCTAAAAATTGTGACTGTGTGATTAGGCTTCATTGAATTTTAATATAGATTTTGCCAATATAACGAAATTTACTAGCATTGTAACATATTACTTGATCTTTCAGCTAGAACGAGTAGATCAGCTGCCTTTCCATAAAAATGGAGCATTTTAGGACAGGATCTTGGATCATTACTTTGGAATTAAGCTCACTGATCACAGCTTATTTGTCTTGTTATGAGAATCTTTCTAGTTTCCATTACTTACAGAATGATGAACTGCAACCCAAACAGCCTTGACGACCGAAACAACATCAGTGTTGTTTGTGAAGTGACTGATCCCAAGAAGTCCTTTCAGCTGCTGCAGTCCTATAACAATTGCTGCTCCTCCCATGAACCCCACAATTGTGGCATGTGAAAGGAAGTCCACTATAAAGCCCAATCTGAACAACAGCAAAACATTGGAATAGAAATAAGAATTCCTTAGTAATTTACTAAAGAGTTTGTTCCATAAGACAACTTGGGAATGCAAGAAACAGTAACCTGAAGAATCCAAATGAAGCTTGGAAGACTCCAGCAAAGAAGGTTGATGTGATCACAAGCTTTCTGTAAGCAGTAGGATCAACAGAAGGATCAACAACTTTCTGAGCCATGGAGGACAGAAGGAGAGAAATAACAGCAACCGGGCCAATTGCTATGTCTCTTGAAGTACCCATCACAGCATATATTAGAGGTGGCACAAAGCTTGTATCTATCATACAATGAAATTCCATGGAAGTTAGATATCAAATTGGAGTTTGACAGCCATCAGAAAGAGTTCAGAAGGACAATCTTATCTGAAACTTGGCAAGAGATGGAATGACAACTTACAGAGGCCATACTGAGGATCCAGTTTAGCTAAATTAGCATATCCAATGCTCTGCCAAGGAACAAAAACCTTTAAGAAAACAGTAGCAAACTGGAAGAACAAGCACTAGTTCATATAGATCATGCAACCACCTGCGGAATGCCGAGGCTTGCAAGAGTGAGACCAGCCATCAGGTCACTCCTAAATGACTTGAGATTATAGTTTCTTCCCCAGTGAAGCACTGGAAACAGGCCATGGAGCACTGAGATTGCCCATTTGGTCAGTGAAGAAGGCTGGTTTCCTCGAGGAAAGATTGCACCTCTTACTGATCCTGAGAGCTCTTGCCACAGAGATGGGGGTTGAGGAGCATTCAGCACCAGCAGAAACGTCTCAGGCCGAGTTGATCCTTTGAAGCCATGATCTGCTGCAGATGGAGGCTCATTCTCTAAGGAACCCATGGTTGTTTGAAGTGTTTGGGCGAACTCTTGAGTTCTTCTTTACTGAAATGCGTTGTTGGTCCTGGATAAGGATTCTTCCACATGCATGGACCATCTCAGAGTCAGATTGCAAGCACTGCACTCCATGGAAGAGATGTGAGGTCTATAAGCTCTGCAGAGTTGAAATTCCCTGAAAAAGATAGGAGATAGGTAAAAGTGTGAAGACCTTGAGCATGTAACTTGCTTGAGGAATGATGAGGTAGATATAGAGGAACTTTAGTCCTGTTGGAGGTCTCGACAGTGTGGATGTGCTGTCTTGGATTCTGTGGTGGCGCATGAGAATAGTAGGTTGGCAAGGATGATAATATTGCTGCATCATTCTTGTTAGAAATGAATTAGACTTATTGCACTTATTACTCGAAAAAATAATAATTCAGCTTTTGACACTCCAGCGGCGACAAGCATAGGATTGTAGCATTTCAGGGGAAGGCATCCTTACCAATTGTACTATCTAGTGACGACGACTATTAAGTATGCTCGACTAGCAGCGTTGTTCCATAACCAAATTATTTACTTTTCTTGATATTTTCCGATAAAATTTTCTGAAAAGATATAAGCACTTTTCAGTGTACATTGACATTCTGGAGTCAGTCATTTATTCCCTGCTAAACCAATTACAGTAAGATTTCAGCAACTAAATATGAACAATCCTGGCATGTATTTATGTTCTTGACTGTTGCACTTTCACCACTGACAGTCATGGCCACCAAATTTACTCATACTATTAAGGATAACATGTTTGATATGATAGATGTAAATTGTCTATATACCCTCCACTGAAGCTTGACTTCATGTTTCCCTTAGAGAAAAAGAAACGAGTTACAAGCTCTATAATTGAATAGTTAGTCTAGCAGCTGTGCGATAACATGTTGAGCAAGTAGATTCTGCAAAAGCAAAGAGTTTCAGAGTCAACGGATGTGCTTTAGATTGTTTCACAAATAGTTCACAACATCTCATTTTCAAGGCCTTCACATTAGAAGTACCAACACTCACTTTGTCACGCAAATGAATAAGACATGATTCACGCATAATAGAAATAGTCAGGTCCCAGCTCAGGTTGTTATTAACTGCCATCCTCCTCCAAAAGAACAAAGAGGAAAAGACCTAATTGTGCAAAAATTATGAATTCCCCTGAACTATCTTCCAACAAGGATCATCATTTAGTGGCACAGTGTTTGTTTGTATCTTTTTGGCACAATTCTGTATCATGCCACTGACAAAAGCTGACAGACACATGTCGGCATCTCTGGCACGGCATAGCATGACGTGCTGATGCTCATTGATATGAACCGTGTCAAGTTTCAATCTATGCTAATATGTGCTAATCGACATGACAATCTTCATTTTGAGCATGTTTTGATGTGTCTTCTTTTTCTGAGGAGGAAATACAAGTCAAATTACTTTTGGAAAATAGGAGAGTGGATGACTCATTTGCTCTCTCTCACAAGACTAACACATTAAAAAATATTATTGAAGATCTTAGGGACCCAAAGAAATTTTTTTTGGCTTTTCTTTTAGATCTACAGCATCTGATTTTGTATAGCTTACTTCATTAATCCTCTAAGCAACTTTATTTTGTACAAGTTGAAAACACACTTGTAACCATGTAATATGTCTCATTTGCTTCTCCTCTCATATACTTTTTCTTCTCATTTCCTCTTAATTATATCTGCTTTGTTTCTGGGCCTAAAGCCTCTGATTTTGGATAGTTTCCATAATTATTCTTCTGAGTAGTGCAAATCATACTTGTGACTGTGTGATAGATTCCAGGGTAGAGCTAGATCCAACAAGCAATTATGGACAGTAGAAGAGTCTTCAGACTTTTACCCCAAATCTTCTAAAATTTTCAACAAGCTCCTACACCATATCTTTTGCAGACATATGCATCATGCTTACCAGATATTTCTAAATCATATAAAAAAGGATGAATAAATTCCTAGGAAGTAGAGTGATGCATTGACTATCAGAAATGACTGTTCTATAGTCACAAGTTGAATCAATTGCATTAGGTTTGGACACCACAATTTGTAATGATATACAGACAACTTTTTTTGAGAAACACTATTCATTGTGGAATCAAAATTACATTCAAACTGAAGCAGGAGACAATTGCCTAAGAAATTACAGGGAAAAAGAAGAGTAGAGGACAAACACATGTTTCTTTTCTGTTGGATCAAGTTCTTCAAGTGCTCCACCAAGTGAGATATGGAACAACCTGTTGGTCCCTTTCATTGGTTCCTGTGGGCAATAGATGCCGGGGATCAAATGCATTCATTGCGTCAAAGCCTAGTGCATCTTTAATTTGTTGCTTGCCAAACCCACCAGAATTTAGGATATTTTTGACATATTTATTATTGGATTTATTTGATTGTCAGATGATGAGGAGGAGGAGGAGGAGGAGCTTTTCTGGAACTATAAATTTGGCAAAGTACTGAAAAGATTGTTTTTTGTTTATAGAAAAACTGATCATATTTGATTTTCTACTAACAAAATGTTTCAACTTAATGAAATTACTTTGAAGAAACAAGAAGAAAAAGTGAAATAAGAATGTGTTCTCTGTAGTCTGTGCAGAATCCAGCAATCCGTAAGACAAATGACAACTAAGAAAGAAAAATCTTAAATCACAACAAACATGCCATTATTTTCTAAGTGGTCATACATGATTTTTTTATTAAGTGTATGAAAACTATATATACATCCTCCTCTGAATTTGTTATGTTTTGGAGTGAAGACCTGCATCTCTTTCTCAAAGGATATAGATGGAAAGGACTTTTCTGAAGATGTTTTCATTTTTTTGCAAAGGATGAAAAAATCTAAAATACAAAATTCTTGTAGAATTATGAAAATTAATCTTGTCACTGATTTTAAAATGTTTCCACTGAACAAAAGAGGCTTTTTTCATCAGAAAAGATGTAACTAAAATTTCTCATGCTGCCAAACACAATCTTAGAACTGCAGAATGAAAATAAAACCTGTCCTGTTCAATGGCATTTATCCAACTTTCAGATAGTGACCATTACTCCAAAATAAGTCCTTAAAATAAAAGCTCTGGTAGTTTGCTAGGATGACTCATATCTCATAAATGATTCAGGAAATGCCCCTTTCTTTGAAAGAGAGAAAGACAATAAAAAAAGCTCTTAGATAAAGGCACAGATATTTTGCTAGGCTGCATCTTATGTCATCAGTGATATCAGGTAATGTCCCTTCTTTCAAAGACAACAAGGAAAGATAAAGGCTCTGATAGTTTGCTAGGCTGCCTCTTTCTTTCAAGGAAAAATAAAAGAGCTCGAAAGGCAGCCATCTTGCACCAGTAATTCCATTGTAGATGATAAATCACACAAAGATTTCAGGTTGGATCAATGCTTCTTTCTGCAAGGGAAAAAGGAATCTTGGTAGCCTGCCTGCCTGCTTCCACTAGTAATTCCACTGTGTGGAGACAAATCACACAAAGAATTCAGGTTGGATTAATGCATCTGTTTTTAAGGAAAAATAAAAACTTGAAAAGCACCCACCTTCCACCAGTAATTCCATTGTGGAGGATAAATCACACAAAGATTTTAGGTTGGATCAGCTCATCTTTTTCCTAGGAAGAAAAAAAGCTTGAAAGGCTGCCACCTCTCACTAGAAATGCCATTGAGACTGTAGATAGATGCCTGCTTCCAAGTACAATGAACGTGGAGAGCTCCTGTTTCCCCTTCTTCCCAGTTTCAAGGATATGTTCCAAATCATTCACAACCATTGAGAGTGGAGTTCGGACAGCGGGGGACCCAACAAGACCCTGTTTCTTTTTTGACTACTAGATCTTTATCCAGCAACTTTTTCTCTTTCTTTCTTTCAGGCTTGCACTTTCAGTTGTTGAAGTCTTTTGACTCTTTTGCGGGGAAGGAATCTGAGGAATGGTGGATAAGAGTGACTTCAAAAAGTGCTTGAAGTGGTGGGGGACAATCCATGGGACTGTGGGAGGCCTCTTGTTGACAGTGCCTTCCCTGTGGAGCTTGACCTCAACTTTGCACTGCCTTCCATGTGGAGCTACTGAAATGCAGCAATATGTGCAGCTTCTGAAATACTGCAATCAATGTTCAGAAAAATGGCATGATGCATCAAACTGAAATACTGCAATCAATTGTTCTATTTTTCCAATTTTAGAATTACACATAATATTTATGAGAATGAATTTTGGTAAAATAGTAAGATTATTCCTTTTGACTTAGTCATTAGATTTGTGTCTAAATATGAGACATGGAAATGGTCTTCCTCATTGTAAGAATACCACCTACATTGATGAGAGACTATTCCATTGGGTTCCTACATGTATAAGAACAAAGAAACAGAGACAAAACATCAACTGAACAGAAAGACACACAGAGTTCTGTCTACTGTAAGCATGTTTATATCTTCAAGCCCCTCAATTGACTGTTTGAACTACTGAAATTTCTACTGAGAAAAGAAAATAGTTATGTGATTCTCTTCTTCCTTCTTCTTGTGTGAATCACTTGCCATCAGGATTGGCTATAACTAGCTGAGTCTAATAAACTTCAGCAAAAAATTAGAGCTCAAACACCTCAAGTGTCAGTATCTATAACATCTGCAGCAGCTGGCTCAGAAGTAGATGATCAAATCAAGTAGAATTTGGAGAGAAAGACTTGTGTATTGTCTTTAAGCTAATCAACTTACTTGACACCAGTCCTCCTGTTGACATAGTTAAGATCATGGAGGAACATGGCTGATATTGTTGTCTAATTTTTCAAACCAAGGGGGAATTTGTGATGATTTTTACGTCGTTGACGGTCCAACCAATTGGATCAAGATTCCGATTTTGTCTTTCTTTTTGTGAAATGACATGGGCCCAATTTCATATCGATTTTGTCCAATTGAATCAATATTTCGATTCGGCTCGATTGAAAAATATATATTTTTAAATTACTTAAAATTATAAACCGATTAACTGATTTTGAATCGGTTCAATTAGGTATATCCGAATCGATTTTGATACAATTTGAATTTGTTTGAACACCCCTAACCAATATTGCATGGATATGAGTGCATGAGAAGTGTATGACCTACAAATTGGGTTCAATGAGGCATAAATTGCATATGATTGTTTTTCTAAGAAAAAAAGAAATAAATTGGCCGATAGTCTGATTATCGATTTTTTTAATCCTGTCGGCTATACATATTTACATAATACTCAAATATTTTTCTTTTTCATAACAAAAATATATATTTCTTAATTTCAATTTTAATTTTATGAAGTAGATCATAGACTTTGTTTGATGTGAATGATGCACTACATGATACCTCCAATGAACCCCTAAATCTGAGGCCCAACAGAGAGATGGCCCAAATAGACCGGTTTAAGTTGGTCAGACGAATTGAGATTATGAACCAAACCGACCGGCTCGGTTCTCTACTGATTAATATCCAAGATGGTCCGCCGGCTCCTATATATACCGTTGCCACAGAAACCCCTAATCTGCCGGTCGATCGGGACAAGGAGCAGCCACGAGGTCGAGGGGCTTCTCCTGCCCGAAGGCCATTCCCACGGCCTCGTTCGCCGACAACGGCGAAAGGCTCGGCACTTGTCGTGGCCATATTGGCGCTATGTGGTGCTTTGGTGTCTATCTTGAGATTTTCCCGTGTCTTTCGTTCTTCGCCTTTCTTTCTGGTTGTGATACCCGTGTGAGGGAATGTTTTGATTTGTCCACTCATTTTGCTCTAGTTTTGGTTTATTGAAGATTTTGATTGGTGTATTTCATTATTTTGCACTTTTTGGCCACCATTTCTATCGCTTTCTTGTTCTTAGTTCAACTTTTGTTCTTGATGGCATCACAACATGCCTTTTTTTCACATTAATTTTGGGCTTGAATTTTCCTGCTTGCAATAACTTTCTGGTATCTGGAAATGTATCGATTATGTCACTTTCACAGCCAAGCTTACGTTTGTTTTCCTTACGATGGATCAAGTGGCTTCACGAATGAATGTAAACAGCTATTTGTGGACCTTTAAACAGCATTATCAAAAGCTTGTAGAATCAGAGCTGCTAATGTTATTTTGCTTCTGATTTTTCGATAAACTTGCAATGGTTCATTGGGGATCTCGAGACTTAGACAATGAAATAGATGAATAATCATACACAGACTTTGCATTTTTCTCTTTTTTGGCCATGCAGCTCGATGATCGTATTCATTTTTTGATGATATACGCTATTCTGAGAAATTTAAAGTGCTGATAAGATAGAATATGAGAGCTGCTAGTGCTGTTTTATTCATAATTTTTTGATGTTGCTATGGCTCATTGGGAATTTTAATTTACTTTCTTTTGCTGTCCGTGCAGCTCAATGATCGTATTCATGTCTTTGACAATATACGCTATTCTGAGGAAACTTGAAGTGCTGATAAGATACAGTATGAGAGCTGCTAATTCTGCCCGCTTTTGATGCCTCATTTGTGCCTTTAATCTGTAATTTCGGGGTTTTGCAATTAAATACTTGGATTTTTCTTAAAGGATGAATTATTAAAATAGTTTAAGATCTTGTAATAAACCATCAAAGTTTATATATATAATTTTAAAAAAAATATTTTTTATATTATTTATCACAATCTTTATGAATTTTTTTTCTTCCTTTTTTTGTTATGTGGTTCCCAATATTATATCTCTGGTTATGAAAACTTTAGCTAATGAACAATGTGAAACATATCATCTTTGATCAACATATGTACAATGTCATTACAAGGTTTTGCAATGTCAGTTTCTGAGGTCACCATATCACTTCAGCTAATGATACATTATTATTATTTTTAACTATCCTTCCTCTATCTATTCCCAAAAATATATTTCAAATAATAATTCTCTTTTTTATCTCTGCATCTGTCGTTCTATTGTTTCAGAAGCTCCACCACTGGTGAACCGCGACGCCCGCGTCCCTTAGCTTCCCGTAGAGCACGAGGCACTCCCAATACGCCCGCCGCCGGCCCCTCCTCGCCCCCTTCTCCTTCTCGTCCTCGTCCCACAACTGGTGATCGCACTCGAGGAAGAGCTCGTCAACCAGACCGATCGCTCCCTCCGCCATCACTTCCTCCACCGCCCCCACCTCCGCCTTTACCACCACGTACTCCTCCTCCCGCACGTTCCTCTGCAGCCACTCTGCCAGCGATGATGATGTACCCTCCTTCGCCTCCGATACCTCGTCGTCTCCCTCCTCCACCTCCACCCGGATCTCCTCGAAGGCGCGCCCCTTCCGGGGGTAGTTCCGCTCGAACCACGCCGTGCCGCTGCCTGCGTCCCCCTTTGCCGCCACCTCTACGAACACCCGCCGCGGGTACCCGTCCAGCTCGTCCCCCGTTAGCTGAGGCAGGTACCTCGCCCTCCGCGCCCACTCCCGCTGCATCGGCGGCTCCAGCATCGCGCTTTCCAGTCCTCTCAGAGATTTCTTCTTCGCTGCAGGCACCGCCAGTAGCCGTCGTAGCCTCATTCCCCCCTCGCCGCTGGCGAAGGACTTCCTCATCGCTACGACCGCATCGGAACCGATCCGCCCGACGTAGGCCGTGCGGTAGTTCGCCGGCGGGAGGAAGGAATCCGGCGGATTGGAACCTGATCGAACGGCCACGACGCCACCGGCCTTCAGGATCCGATCAATGCGACGGAAATCGACGGCAGAGGAGGAGAAAACGAAGTCGGTGGAGCTGTCCGGCAAGGTAGCGCTGCGATCGCCGGCGATCATGTCATCGAAGATGACGACGTTGCCCTCGGGCCGAAGGAGGCCGCGGCGCCTCAGATCCCGCAGGAGCGCCGGTAAGAAGGTATCGTCGCTGTCGACGGCCCCACCTACGTCGGCCCCGGGGAGGAGGGCTGCCTGGACGCAGGGGACGCAGAGAAGTGCAACGGCGAGGAGCGCCCACCGGGCAACGAGGCGGACGCGGAGGTCAGACGGTCTCGTCATGAAACCTTCGCCACCGAGGACAAGTCGCCGGACACCGCTCGGCTTCTTCATCGTGAACCTCCCCTCCTTTCCGGGCAAAGCGGTTGCGAGGGTGTGTTTTCTTTCAGGGAAATGAAGAGGGACGGAGAAGCGATGAGATCACCGGGTGGACAAGCGGCCACCGGTGTGTTTACGACGGACAAACTGCGACGCTCGTGCTTTGAGATTGGAGGCAGAGGATCATCAGCTACTTGGACGGACACGATTGGCTCAGTCGCTTAGAGATGCGTGCGCTCAGTTCCACGCTTCCGTTCACCAAGGTAAAATCCCCAAACGTCTTCTGATCTATAGAAATGCTCAATCGATTAATTGGGATGGAAGAGGCAAGAGACTGAGAGAGAGAGAGAGAGAGAGAGAGAGAGATTGGCGCCCTTGGATTTGGTGAAGAACACAGCAACTTTGATATACTTATATATAGGGTGGCATGTAGGGAGTATTTTTAGCAGAAGGGTGGGGTGAGGTGGGGAAAGCTGTTAAGCCAATAATGGCAGCTGGACAACAAGAGCAAAGCAGAGTTCGATGCGTGTCTCATTCGCTAGTCTAATTTAGGTGGGTGATCATTATTGGCGTGGTTAACGAAGATTTTAGGAGGGTTCATTGGTTAAATGCCTCTTTCATCTGTTGATGATGGGTGACTATCACTTCAATTGGAGTTGAGGTTTATACTAAAATTAAGGATACATCAATTTATGGATATTATCTTTTAATTTATGGGGATAAAGTTATAATCTTTTCCGGTTTCACATTAACAAGAATTTTGGGATATAATATTAGTGGGGGCTGATTCCATTTGAAACATTGTAATTGGGGTCCGATAAATAAAAATCACTTATAAATCTTCTAAATTAGTTTAAGAATGATTATTGATGATTTATATTTTTTTAAGGATTAATATTGGTTCCTACCTTGATTTTTTTGTCTCATTGCGAGTAAAGCAAAAACAAACACTGTGAAAGAAGTTAAAATACAAGCTTCTTCTAGAGAACTCGTCCAAATATTTATGCTGTCATGTCACATGGAATTATATATATATAGAAGAAAATTATAGAGGTCGGTAAGAAATTTCGCTTTCGTCGTAAGTAACATAATTAATAAATATTATTCAATAATTTAGAAATACATCTGGAAAAAAAGAAGTCTATTCCTCCACAGTACCTCTGTGGGACACGTGGGGAAATTCCGGCCCGCTTGCACCAGCAGCGGATAGACCTCATCCTTTACCTGATCACCCACCCAAGACGACGCGTCACTTTCTCCACAAAGGCGGCGCATCACGATCCCAACCCCAGCCTTTCGATTACAGATGGGCGTCTCTGATCCGGTCATAACCCGCGCTATGCGGTCAAAGGGTCTCTGCGTGGGAACACCTTACACTCCCAATGACGATAAGTATAATCGTGCGGTCGTCGTTTCCCCCACCGCTCTGACGTGGTCGTCGTTATCCGACACTCATCATCTTCTCTTATCATTTTCCTTCATGTTATTGCTCCTGTGTCTAGTTCGAGCCACCAAACACATAAGCCAAGCATACAACTTGTGTTTGCTGGTGGTCTCCATTGTCTAATGGATCCTACACTCTTATCTAATTGGTCCCTCGAAACACTGCGTAGGAGATGATGCACATCTACCTAGAACTATACAATACTACTACTAATACTAATACTTATGGTAACATGTACCTATCTACCACTACCAGTCCATCAACGTCGGCAACGCTACTGCCATGGCAAAAAGCTGCCATTCCTCTGCTGAGTCGCCCTCCTCCTCCACCGCCACCGGCACCGCCAACAACAGCAGTGGCGTCAGTGGTGTTACTAACGCCACTGCTGCAGGTGCTCACTTACACAGCTCTCTCAGGTCTCTAAACAAAGCTTCTTATAAGATAACCAAACCCCTTCCCAAACACCCCAACCTTGGCCTGGTTAGGGAGCAGCAGGCGGCGCTTACAACTGGCGGCGGAGGAGCGCCGTCGCAGCCGCCGATCTACAACATCGACAAGAGCGACTTCCGCAGCCTCGTCCAGAAGCTCACAGGGTCGGCGACCCACCGCCACCAGCTCGGCCCTGCAGCGCCACCGCCTTCCGCACCCGGCCCTCCCCCTACTTCCCGGCTCCACCGCATTCGCCCGCCACCGCTCGCCCACCTCACCCCCCGCCCGCTTCCCCTGTACTCATGGACCCGGCCTCCGCCGCTCTCGCCGCTACCACCGCTGCCCACCGTCAGCGCTGCGGCGGAATCGCCGATATCGGCATACATGCGCCGCCTGCAGAACGGCTACCTGCCTGACATCCAGCCGTCTCTGACCGCCGCGCTGGTGCTCCCCCCGCTCGGCTCGCGACTGCCGTCCCCTGGGACGGCATACGAGATGATGGTGGCCCAGGGACTGGTGTTGCCGACATCACCTGTAGTGCAGCTGCCGAGCTCAATGTTGGGCGAGCCCTCACGCCACCAAGTTTCCATCTCTTCTCCACTGGTCTTCGACGAAGGTATGTTGAGCCATCACTTAGGCTGAGTACTAATAGGATTCCACCCTCTTCTGTGTTCTTAGTTTTGTAAGCTGCATGTAAATACAGTGATCAACAAGAACTTGAACTCCTTTAGGACAGATCTGATGCTGTGTCCAAAGCAACAAATAAGTGTTTTGTTTGTAAATGGATTACAATCATGTAAATCTCTGTGAAAAAGCTGCTTTTTAGTGTCAAAAATATGACTGGTCTCATCCTACAGTTCTTCCCAAAGGTGGTGAATATGTTTAATGTTTGATGGGGAAAATATAAATTAAATCACCTTGCTCACAGGAATAAGATGTATCCATGTTCTCAAGTGACCACCAACTTGATATGATTCCATGATTCTGACAATGTGGTCTTGTGATTCTTGTAAAATCTAGAAAGAAATCTTAGGAGTCTGACTCAGGTGGCATATGTTCTTCTCCTGTATGAAGATATCAGTGGTGAACAGGTGGATTCTTGCTGTGTCTTTTGGAAGATGAAGAATATAGATGAGATCAGCAGAATGCCTAAGCTTTGGTTTGGAACCTCTCGGGAACAAAAAGCCTACAGAATGGTTAGGTTATGAATTTTATGTGGCATTTGGGAGATGATAGGTAAGATTCTATATTGTAATATGAATAAACTATATACAACGGTGGATTTTGCAGCTGAAAGATCAAAGTTAGCTTCCGGTTTCTGCTTTGTTTCTAACCTATTGCATGCAAAAAGTGGCCTGAATTGGAAGTACCCTTATTTTATTTTATTTTTATTTTATTTTTTTCATATTTTCACCTTATCATTTTCTATAATGTTGATCGTCGAACCTTTCCTACTCATCACAATCGTCGACCTCAACCCTCGACCCCTTTGCCTCTCGACCCTCATTGTTCATCATAATCGCTTGTTACTTTCGTCTCTCATCGTCGGTCAATTAAAAGAGTAAAGTAATTTAAAAAAGAGGCACTATCGAGGGAGGAGGCAATGGAAGCCTATGAGAATTGCGATTGAGATGATAACAAGATTTCTATGAGCAAGGCAAAGATAAAGGAGGATGATGATAAGGAGTCTTACGTGATGAAAGAAATTTATAAGATTTAGAAAATAAGAGATATCATTCAAGAAAAAATAAAAACAACCATACCTTATAGAAAAAAATCTAAAAATAAGGTTTTTCAAGAAAATTATCCATCATATATAAAGAAACTGGTTATTCATAATCTCTTTTTTTATTAATAATACCTTAAAATATAAAAACATTTTATTATTATTATTGATAATATTAGTTTTATCATTTTTATCTTTTCTTTCTTCCATCACAATCGTTTATTAGTGTCGTCATCATCGTCGATGTTCAATGTTGTTCGACCATGGATGAGGAGAAGAAATGAAGGAGAAGGAAGAAAAATTAGAGGATGAAGAGGAGAAAAATGTTATTTACATGTATTTATAAAGGGATAGTATAGAAATATTAAAAAAAGAAAAAAATATTATAAATAATAAAAATAAGGGTTAAATTAGTAATCTCTTATATTAACCTACAGTAGTACATCACCAACATCTATAAGACTTATCTTTCAGCATTCACTTGTTTAAATCATTCGGCGTTCGAGGAAATGCTCGAGAGAACCGCTCCGCCCGCGTGAGGCCCTCGCCCTTTACCGCGAGGCCGTCTCCGACGCTCTCTCCATCTCAACCGTCCTCAACTCTTGCACCTCGCTCTTGATCACGAGGACCGGGGAAAATGCTTGCACCTGACCCTCCGAGATCACTCGTGGGGCGCGTACGCTCGCAAGCTCGAGAGGTGTTCGATCGAATGCACGAAAGGGACATTGTTGCTTGTATGGTGATGCTAAAGGCCTTTTCTGATAGAGATCTCTTCAATTCGTCATGTAAACCATGTTCACATCGTCCAGTGTCCAACCAGATACTGCAAGTTCATTTTGGAGTCAAAGTAGGACCTATGTCGTCCACATTCGTTGACTAAATCTTGGCATTGTAGCGAGGTGCTGTTCGTTGATGCAGTACCTTAAATGCAACGCAACCCTTCGAGGTAGTGCGCTGGAAAGGAGAGCAGGAGGAATCTAGTTTTACTTTCCGATGGGCATATATGCCATGGCAGATGGGGAGGGAAAGAATCAAAAACCTTGTGACCTCTGGTGAAGGCTCTTCTGCAAGGCCATGGCCATCGATGGACTTTGAAGTAGACAGCATGTCGAGCAGGAAGAACACAAGCGTGAAGTGCAGCAGCTGCGGCGCGCGCCTGGTCGTGCCGCCGCAAGCTCAGACCATCTGTTGCGCCGCCTGCCGGGCCACCACTAACGTGGGGAGGTCCCGAGACCCGGTCCGGCAAGCTGTGGGCATCGTCAAAGCCGTGGTGCTGAACATCTGCAGCAGCATCAGCTCCCTGAGCTCCTCGTCGTGGAGCAGCGGGTCGAGCTCTTACGGGTACCCGACGATGGGTCAGCCGTCGAGCTTTCCCCGGGTTCGTGGGAAGAAGAGGGCGGTTCTCGTCGGCATAAGCTACGCTGGGCGGCAGTACGAGCTCAAGGGGACGGTGAATGACGTCAACTGCATGCGGTACATGCTGACTGAGAAGTTCGGGTTTCCAGCGGAATGCATCCTGGTGCTCACCGGTACGGAATTCCTCCATGGAACCAAGTCGAACACCATTGTTCCCGTCTCAAACAGAGTCGTTCCTTTTCCTGTCGCATGCAGAAGGGGAGAGGGACCCGAACCGGGTGCCAACGAAGGAGAACTTGCGGGCGGCGATGCGGTGGCTGGTGAGCGGGTGCGTGGCCGGTGACTCCCTGGTGTTCCACTTCTCGGGCCACGGCGTCCAGAGGCTGGACTCCAGCGGCGACGAGATGGACGGCTTCGACGAGGCGCTCTGCCCCCTGGACTTCGAGTCCAACGGCACCATCATGGACGACGAGATCAACGACACGCTCGTCCGGCCGCTCCGCCGCGGCGTCAAACTCCACGCCCTCGTCGATGCCTGCCACAGCGGCACCATCCTCGACCTCCCCTACCTCTGCCGGCTGTCCAGGTGATGAACTACACACAACATACATGCATGATTGCAGCATATACATGATCGGGGTTGCTTTGAGCAGGGCTGGGTATTACCAGTGGGAGAATCACACCGCACCATCAGGCGTATACAAAGGCACGAACGGAGGATTGGCTATATTGATCAGTGGCTGCGATGACCACCAGACCTCAGCGGACACCTCGGTGAGTGCATGCTTCACCTCTCCTTCACGTAAGAGTGTTCTGTAACCAGTAAACGGCGACTCCATGTGATCACATCACTGCAATCTCAACTCCTACTGCAGGCATTTGCAGGCTCGGCTTCCACGGGTGCCATGACCTACAGCTTCATACAAGCTATCGAAAGTGAACCAGGAACTACCTATGGTCGCTTGTTGACGGCCATGCGCGCCGCAATTCGTGCGTCCGGCATAGGCATTAGCATCAATGGCCCAATTGCTTCTCTTATGAGGAAAGTGTTCAACTTCGGGTCAACTCAGGTAAAGCTTCTCATGAAACAAAGCCTCCTTTCTTGCTTCCCTTCTCTCTCTCTCTCTCTCTCTCATCTTTGATGAATGTTGATGCCATAGGATGCCAATGCCATATGATAAGCATTAGGAACTCGAGTAGATATTGTGGCATTGCGTGATGAGGAGCTCTAATTTGATCTGTTCGATAGGGGATCTTTGCCGAGCTATTCACTGAGTCTATCGCATGAAGCTCTGTTGTATCGCTTTCTCTCAAGTTTTGGTCGTATAGCATATTAATGTGAGCTTAATTTGGCTTGCAGGTGCCTCAGCTATCTTCCTCGGAGATGTTTGACATCTACCGCAAGCCATTTCTCCTGTAACGCCACTGCCTTTCATATTAATATGTATTCGTCTCATGATAGAACTTGAGGATGTTTCTTTAAATTTATAGAATATTAACCATGTTCAATGACATGCCATGGCTTCTCATAGGATTGCATATCTTACTATAGCGACAAAGAAATGGATTTGCTTCTTCCTGTAATAGAGAAGTAAATTTGTTTCTTCCTGAATTTGCTTTGTCAACTGAGAAAATACAGAATCTTTTACACATCAGGTGACCCTTTACATGAACAAAAGATATATTCTTTTAATTTGATTTGTCTCTCCGTGTTGCTAATGGCCTCTGAGTTCTTTATCCCTGATATAAAGGAATACCTCGGCACATGAGGTATTGAGGGGCGGAGTGCAGCTAGACTTCTGATCGAACTTCCATGTTCATGCTGTGGTAGAGTACCCACCTTCTACTCCGGGGAGGTGGCGAGGGGAATGTGCTGCTCATCCAACGCCCGGTAAAATCAATCGGGTTTTGGCGATGGGCTTAGAGGAGCGAGAGGAGTATCGTTCATCCATGTCGAACAAGCTGAGTGAGCTGGGTTAGGAGGAGAATTGGTGATCTGCATGATCTCAGCCATCGACAACATCCGGGGTTAATTATATGGGTTAATTATATGTTATCTAGACCTCTTTAGTATTTTGATCTTTAAATTTAAAAAAATTATATTTAAATTTTTATAATTATGTGTTACCCTAACGTTATCGACTTTATCGACGGAAAATATAACACGTGTGTGAATGACACGAAAACAATAGACAAAGAGGTAATTTTAATGATAGTTGTTAGTGTAAACAACTTTATGCCGTGGCCTCGGGGCCGACGCGGCTTGGTTGGGGGTCCGAATGACGGGGATCTCGCGCCGTGGCACCGGGAGGGAGCGATCCCGTTCTCGCACCTGCACACAGGTCGGGTCGGAAGCTCGGCCTAACCCCTCCAACGATCAAGTTAGATGATGTGGAGGGAGTTTGTTAGTCAAGAAGTGTCCCCTCGAGGTCTTTCCCCCTCGTTTAGAACTCGAGGGTATTTATAGGTAAGTTTAGCGTTACCTGATGTGTTTGCCTGCAGGGGCAGGACCGTACCTCTGATGGCGTCTGACATTGCCGTTGGCGTTGCGTGGAGAATCGAACTGCCGCAGGGTATGGGCGAGCATCGGTCGTCGTCCTCCTCTGCCTCGGTCTGGCGCGCGGGTCAGACAACGATGAGGTCATTGTCTGAGAGCGGGTGACGTCAGCGCATGTCGAGTCGGCATTATTGCCCTCCTCCTTGGGCAGAGTGGCGCCCAGGTGAGTCTGACGTCGTGACACGTCATGTCGCCATTATTACCCCTATCAATAGTGACAAACGATGATGCCATGGGTGGTTGTTATGGTGGTGGCCGGTCTTGCTGATATCAATTCAAACATCGACAATGAGAAGGAAAAGGAGGCAGAGCGATAAGGCATTTGTGTCGATGCCGGAAGGGAAAAAGGAGGGAGGTGAGACATTTGCATTGATGTCGTACCACTTTGCCTCCTTTTCCTCTTCTGATGATGCGGTGTGACATCAATGCAAAGGAAGACCAAACGATGTGGTAGTCGACTAGAACAAAGAGGAGGTAGTGGGATATGATGCCAGAGGAGGAAGAGGGGACAGGTGAGGCATTTGAATCGATGCTACGCCGCTCTACCTCCTCTTCCTCTTCCAATGATGTGGTGGTCGACAAGAAAGAAGATGAGGCAGAGCGATACAATATTGATGCAAAGGAGGTAGTGTGACATCGCACCGAACGATGCAGTAGTTTTCGAGAACGAAAAGGAGGCAGAGCGATGCAACACTGACACAAAGGAGGTAGTATAGTGCCACACCAAATGATGTGGTGGTCTACAAGAACAAAGAGGAGGTAGAACAGTGCGGTGCTAGAGGAGGAAGAGGAGGCAAGTGAGACATATATGTTGGCATCGCTAATACCCATCGACGAGAACAAAGAAGAGGCAGAGTAATACAGCACTGACGTAGAAGAGATAGTATGACATTGCACTGAATGATACGGTGGTCAATGAGAACAAAGAGTAGGTAGAGCAGTGTGGCATTGATGCAGAGGAGGCAAAGTGGTGCGGCACCAACATAGAGGAGGTAGTGCAATGCTGCACTGAATAATGTTGTGGTCAGCAAGAATGAAGAGAAGCCAGAGCGATGTAATGCTGACGCAGAGGAGGCAGTATGGTGCCACACTAAATAATGAGATGTTTAGCAAAAATGAAAAGGAGGTAGAGTTGTGCGACACCGACACAAATGCCTCGTCTACCTCCTCTTCCTCCTTCGCACAACTCTACCTCACTTGCCTCATCTTCCTCCTCCCTTCTCATCATTGGTGATGTGGATACTTCACATGCCTCTTCCTTCTTTGATGCTGATGCATATGCATAGCAATGCCGAAGGAGTAACATAAGGCAAAAAGTGGTGTGACATCGATGCAGATGCCTCACCTCTCTTCTCTTTCTCTTCCGACGTCGACATAAATGCTTCATCACTCTACCTCCTCTTCTTCCTTGTCATTGATGTTCGGATCGATCGACATTAGTAAGGCAAACCACTGTATCGTTCTCGCAAACTACCACCACAATAGTTATCCACGATGTTATCGTCTATCACCATCATTAAAATTATCCGTTTGTCCATCATTTTTATGTCATTCATGTACGTGTTCCATCTTCTATTGAAGTAAATGAGATTAAATATTTTATTTTTATAATTATAAAAAAATTAATATAATTTTTTTAAATCTAGATTGAAATACTAAAAAGATTTAACTACAAAGAATAATATAATAATATATAATTAACCTCGGTCAGACTGAAGATTGGTAAAGTAACAGTGGGAGGGTTCGTCACTAGAGGTTTGACCCCTTGATCAAAGAGAAAGTTAGGGTCGATGTCGGATCTTCACGTGTTCTCGTGAAATTGACTAGATTATTTTACGACATGTTTGCTCTCTTTGGAGCCAACTTGGGTTCTTAGTTTAGTACATTAACTGTAGTCATAGCCAAACATGAAGAAATATGATAACCTGTGCATACATTATCAGGTAATCAACAATAGATTGATGATACTCCATGCTGTTACAGTGTAAGGATTGAAAGAATCTCTCTAGGAAGCTTGCAATAAGCAAAGCACAATCTAGCTTTAGCTGCAACTAAAATGATCAAACTGGAAAAATACAGCAAGCAGTCCTACCAACGAATGAACCTTTTACTGTAAAGAGTGCAGAAAATCCTATTTCTTTTGGGACATTCTTGTCTCTGTGCAGATGAAAAACTACTGGAAAACAATGGCAACCTCAAAAGTTAATGCCTTCTAGGAATCAAACAATTATCTGTAATCAGCAACATCTCACTGGGAATGGAAGCATTTATATGTAACCTGGAAGGGCATAAGTACTACATTTCCAGGTTTGGCAGCACGCAGCTTGGGTGTACGCCTTTATATAATAATCTACTCGGGCTTTTCTCCGTGATGGAAATCAGTAATCAACATCAAGTCATAAAAACAAAGCGTATTTATGCCATTAGTCGAACCACATTGTTATCTCTGTTCGGTGCGTCCGTGGTTAATTGCCTTGCCACTGCTTGTGAATCTTTAATCTTCCTAGCAACAAAACATCAACTGCCTTCTTATTGTTCATTTACCTGAATAGAATTTATGGGAGATCTTATAGTTACAAAGAGAACAACAGAATTTGTCATCAAGGAATGCAAAGGGTTCTAAGAAGCAAACCTTCCACGGTCAACATTCGCAACAATGACAAGTCCACTATCTGCAGTGACATCTTTGGAATGTATATAAGGATTGGACTGCAAAAGTGATTTGAGGCTCTCGTTGCCAAAAGCTTGGAAAACAGCTTATGTCCACCAAATCTTGGAACACCTGATAAATGTGGAAGGAAAAAATTCAAGATTCATGTGAGTGCTTGTTGAATCAAGAATGGAGTAAATTGAATGCAAAAGATACAAACATGAAGAAAGAATGCCTTTTCCTTTGAGATGAAATCTTTTGTAGGGTTCTTGATTAAGAAAATAAATCTCTTAATTAGCAAATGATTCACCAAATACATAGAGTTTCAACAGAAACGATCACACTACCTGGAAGAAGTAAGTCATTGTTTACCATAAGGCATGTGAGAAGATACAGAAAAGAATAACTTGCCAGAAATGGAGGGCATAAAGGAAAATTAAGGGGGCATGAGAATAAGAATGACAAATCCCAAAGGAAATTTGGTGCTTTTGAACTAAAACCATGACATCTGCAAACTAATCTAAGTTCAAGCTTGAGATGAGCTCACACTTCAGCAACTGTTTATTACAGGAAGCCAGATGTTGATAATCAATTACCAAAGAAGGGTGTTTTTATCATACAACAAAAGCTTATACATGTTATGCTTCCTGGTAAGACATAATTAGCACATTATTTAAGCAAAGGCTTCCATAAGAACCTGGCATGTTTGAAACAAAACCACCTCTAGTCTCAATGCTTTCATGGACCTTGTTTAAGATTTCAATTCCCACAATGACTTGGTGAAAAACTATTTCCATCTGCAAAAGTCAAGCCGATCTAAGGATAATGATAAAGGTAGGCCCAGAGAGTATTTAGAATTTTTTATGAGTTCCTGAAGATGCTTGTACTAGAATGTACATGAGAGGGAAATAGGTGTAACTTCATCGGGGTTGACGCTCATATGCATATACAAGAACAAGAATGTAAATGAGAGAAAAAGATTTAAGTCGGTGATTGGTTTTAACCAAAATGGCCATCTTAGAACTAACAAATAATCTACATGAAAGCTGACTAAAAGCAATTGATGGCTTACCTGTAAAAGTATATGGTATGACTGAGACAAGTGTGAGGATGTTATTGCATACCATATACTTTACAGTCACCAATGATGCATTGTGTGAGAGATTTTAACATGTTTCTCAACAAAGATGAACCACATAGGAGAACAAGCTTTTCCATGTCATGAAAACTATATCAGTGTGTATTCGTGTTCCTCAAGGTTTTCCAACACATCCATGAACCATGGCTGTTCCACGAATATGAGGCACAATCGTCAGCCAGATGCACACCTCATAAGCATTTGAAGCTTGCAGTACAAGATCTTTTCAAAAAACACAAGAACAGAAGCTTACCAATCGCAGCAAAGTTGCTCTACAACCACAGATTGCACCAGAGACAATAATTCTGCTAAAAAAAATGCAACTCATATGATGCTCATGTATCATCTATGTGGATGCCACATAAACCATGGAAGCCTCAAATATCGAGCTTCTTATTGGATATCACGCCATCACCAACATATAATGAAACTAGTGTGACCCCTCTTTTGCACATGGATAACAGATTGTGATCCCTATTTGCTAATCCAACAGCATCCAGTTTCTGGTTTTGGGAGATGTGTCATCTGCCACAACTGAGGTGGAGAGACATTGATGTGTCATCTGCCACATCATATATATGTATATCCCAAGGTTTGTAAAGTTCAGGTAGATTGCAATGCACAAAATTAAACTGACGAGCTAATCTTTCAAAACCTGCAGAGACCACTAAACCATTTTGCCGGAAAGAGAACCACATTCCACTTTACATACCCAACAGCATATGTGCCGATCTGCCAGAATCCCAACCTTAATTGCATTTGCACTTATACAAAGTTGGTGAATCACAAAAATAGCCTTAACCATGCCCTGTCCCAGTGAGATTCTGTCATGGAATGGTTTTCATCACAAGAAGTGCATGCACCACTTAGAACATGAATACCAATCTACACGAGCTGTTGATTATTTAAATATCAGAAACTTGCTGACATTTCTCTTTGACTCATCGGACAGAATTTGCCAACCATCGCATTGAGCTTTCTGAGGAATATAGGCAATCTTTTCAACTTGTTGCTCAAGTATTATGTCCTGCTTAAGTTATGGTGCTGTTGTCCTTAACAAAGCTAAGTGCTCCCTTTGAAATCCTCTCAGAAAGTTCTGATGCAGTCGAATACCTATTGTTCTCATAGCATGCATTTATAAATGCAGCGTAGGTTATGCGGTCAATGCTGTGATCTTCATCCAACAATTTGTTGATGAACATGCCTGCTGCATCTACGTGTCCCTCAAAGCCGAGCTTCCTAACTAAGATATTGGCTGTGCGAGTCCATTGTTTTTTGTCTAGCCTCTCCAATACTGATAAAGCAACGTTTGATTTTTGCCTCTTGCAATATTCATAAGCCAATGTAATGCGACTAACTTCACAGGGAACCAGACCTTTGTCTAACATGGCCTCATATAATGCCCTTGCCTCATCCAGCCTAGACTCTTTGCAGAGACCACTGACCAAAGCACCATATGTTATTGCATCAGCTGAACATCCATGCTGGATCATCTTCTCAAAAACCCTCAAAGCAGAAGTTACTTTTCCAACCCTACAATACCCACCGATCATCGATGTATATGTTTGTTTCGTAGGAACTAACTCTAACTTGAGACATCTTTCAAACAACCTCTCGCTCTCTACCATGTTCCTTTGCTTGCAAAATGCAGCAATTAAGGTGGTATATGTGTGAATATCTGGATGGCAGCCTGCGTCAACCATCTCATTGAATAATTCCATAGCTCGAGAAGAGTGGTCTCGCTTGCAATGCTCACTTATAAGAATAGTATATGTAAATTTATCCATCTGCAACCCCTTGTTTGAAGCCTCTTGAAGCAATCTATAAGCCTCTTGAATCCTTCCCTTTTTGCAGAGCCCATGGATAACAGCATTATATGTGCAAATATTTGGAAGACAACTGTCACTGGTCATTTGATCCTTCAATTCATAAGCCCGCTCCAGATTCCCAGCTTTACAGTGTCCATCAATCAGAGTGGTATAGGTGTTGGTGTTGGGTGTCAAACCCTGCTCCCGCATTCTCGTCAGCAACATTTCTGCCCGATTAAGCTTGCTCTCCTTGCAGTAACCTCTGATCATGGCTGTGTAAGTGCAAACATTCGGCTTGTATGAGTTGCTCCGCACAAGCTTCAGGAACAACCTGAAAGCCCGATCAGTCCATCCAATCTTGCAAAGCCCATCAATCAAGGCTGTGTGTGTATAAACATTTGGCTTTAACCCCCTCCCCACCATTTCCTCAAGCACCTGAAATCCCTGCTTCACACTGCCCCTCTTGCACAGCGCATCAATCAGAGTCGTGTAATTGATCACATTCGGAGCCAGACCGATCTCCAGCATCTTGCGGAAGAACCTGAAGACCCAACTGACACAACCCTTCTTGCAAAATGCATCCACCACCAGCGTGCATGTAACGTTATCGATTCCATGACCTCTCTCCTCCACCGTCCTCAATAGCCTCTCCACATCAGAAACGCGGCCCTGCCTGCAATAAGCGGCGATCATCGTCTTGAAACTGCACGAATTGGGATACGTTCCATTCGCCGGCATTTCAGCAAACAGCTGCTCCGCATATTCAATCAAGCCCGAACCAACCGCCACCCTAAGAACCAAATTCATGGTGTGGATGCTGATGGGCAGCCCCTGGCTGCGCATCTCGAAAACCATGTCGACGGCCTCCTTCAGCCTGCCAACCTCGGAAAAACTCACAGCCATGCAGCTCATGACCTCCTGCGCCTTCTCCAAGTTACCGAGGTCGACCAAGGAGCACGCGGCCGTGACGTAGAACCGCAAGAAATGCCTGAACTGGGGCCGGGCGACCGCCCAGCGGAAGAAGCTGAAAGCCACCATGGATCCCTCCGTCTCCGCGAGGAGGGCAACGGCGGCCACCGCCTGCTCATCGGTGAGGTCGACATGCAGGGACCGGAGTTTCTGGTTGCCGTCTTCGTAGGTCTGGGAGATCAGATTGCAGACCTCGGAGACTGTGGGCGGAGGGTTTTGCGGTGTAAAGGTGGGATCTTGGGAGGGTTGGCGGGGTAAACCGAGGTCGGCGAAAGGCCTGGTCTTGTTGGTGCGGGCGCAGTAGTAGCGGAAATGAGGAGCGAGCAAGCGGCGGAACAAGCGCATGCCTTCTCGATTTGGCGACCAACTTCTTCCAAACGAGTATATATATATATACATATATATATATATATATATACATATATATATATACA